CACCCACCTGGAGCAAGGTATGTGCTGGCAAGTGTGCACATGAGGATGATATCATTGAGGGTAGACGAGATAGTGCCCGACAGGCTGGCGAGGATGGTGACGAGGATAAGTGAAATGAGTTTACGCAGGGAAGGACTAAGGGGTCGGCGAAGCTGATCGGGAATGGGAAGAGAAGGAATGGTTACAAGGAGAGACGGTATGCCTAGAAGAAGAACAACCGCATTAAGGACGACAGTTAACTGGAAGAGACGCGACTCCGATTCGGGATCGAGTTCATCTCTGGGAGATGAAGGGAGCTTGAGATTATGGGCCGTAAGTTGCAAGAGCGGTGAATTTGAACAAAATAAACACACAGTTGATCTTTGGCTCGGGTATGCCGAAAAAATAACAAGGGGAAGAAGGGCAAGGCTGCCTAGTAATACAGAAATAGGTGAGAGAATCTTGAATGATCGGGCTTTGGGAGGTTTCGCGGTAGTTATCGGTTGGGGGCTGCCTCTCAATGAAGCGTAGAGGGTTAGGGTTGATGAAGAGCAAAAGGCGAAAGCGGTGACGCCTAAGGGGGATGTCAGGGTGCGTAAGAAGGGTATGGTGACGACACAAACTGTATCCCTGCCAAAATGAGCCCAGCAGTAAGTCAGGGTGTGCCTTGAGAGATCCATGCTTGAAGGTGTATGCGACGCAGCCTAACCAAGTAAAGTACGCAAATACGGAGGCCCACGTCGCATAGACGACCTTTTTGGATGCCAGGGATTTCGAAAATGCCAGAGGTCCAACCAGAAGAGTAAGAAGGGTTGTAAGGACGGGTTGCGCTGGTAAAAATGACCACTCCGGTATGATTGGAAGTAAAACCTGGACCGAGACTGACGGCGTGGGTGTGAGATGAAGATTAAGATACAAGTAGTGGGAAGGCATTACCTTTCAAGTAGAGGGATGCTAACAATATTCTGATGATGGCAGTCCCGCTTCGAATAGTGCTCCTGAGGATCGTACGTTGGCGTTCCTTTCCTCGACCGCGGGCGAAAGCGTCGAGAATAACATCCTCTATATCTGTCTTCCGCAGGTGCCGTGCGAGCATGTACCAGATATGTCGTGCGAAGGCTGCCAACCCCGCGCAGAATAGCAGTGAGGATAGGCCATGCGATAAAGGTAGGCTCGAGTTGGGGAGAAGGATGGCTCCCAATTTCAAGAAGGGATCAAGTAGATACAACAGGACGATAGATGGTGGTAAAGGTTGTGCTGATTGCCTGCGTACTTGAACCTCTTGCTCAAAGGGAGGGTCATCTTCGTCGCTGGAGAATTCGAACGGACTGCTTGCGTCGTGATCGTCGTCATTGAGAAGGATGAGAGCCGCGGTTGAGTCTGTCGCTGTGATAAGCGGAGACGATGGCTCTGACAACGATGATTCCGACGGCGAGCGACGAAGGTCGGCGGACATGGAGGAAGGAGGAAAGAACGGAATGGCGTGTTTGCGGCTTGGTATGAAACGGTTGGCCTTCTTCAAGCTTCTGATCATTGTCCGAGCTGCCTTTTCAGGCACCGAATGGTGACTAATTCGAATGACACCAACATCCTCACAAACGAACAATGAAAAATTCACGCAACCTGCCTCGTAACCTCATGTTTTTCCAATCACTGAATTCATTGGGCTTTTGAATGGCAGCCAGCTACTGGGTAACCAGTGGGCTTTCCTCAACTTGCCTGAGCCTCACTTCCTCATCCTGGTAACTTAAAATAAATTCGCCTTACAGTAACCTCGAGAACCTCCGACATTTGTTGGACATTTGAGTCCGGCGACGCTGCGGAGGGGGCTGTGGTGCTGTGGGGAAGCTTATCAGCGTGTGAATGTTCAATGTCACGGCCAATCATTCAGTCACACCACCGGCAGATCTCCAATTCTTTTCATCCTGTGATACGTTTCCAGCCACCACGCTGGCAACGCAACATTTAGTCCAAGTCTCGGTCTGGTCTCGTCATGCCTTTATTCAATGATTCTGTCGGCGATGGCTCTAGAACGCGACACAGACTGTCGTTCCATGAGTCGTACATCCTCAAGACCTTTTACAGCACGAATCCCACCCCGACTAATCAGGAGTTAAACGTGCTTGCAGCGCAAACTGGCCTGTATGCGCCGATTTCACTTGATTTCCCCTCATCGAATCGACTCCTGAACTCACCGAACTCCACAGCGACCGAAAATGGGTTCTCAACTGGTTTGGCCGTGAAAGAACCAAAGCCCGTAGAGGTGGTGATGCCATTCCAGCTCCAGTGCCACTCTTCACGAAAGGACTGTTACGCGGGCGCACGAAAAGAATTAAAAAGAAGAAAAGAGCACCAGAAGTGGACCCTCAGGTTCCCGACGAAGCTGGTTCTGGACCTATCCCAATGGATTCTCTGCAGCCGCAAGGTGACTAGACAACTTCCACTTGTGTTACTTCGGGAACCAACGCCAACTTCTTTTCAGAACGACCCGCCTCTCCAGATGAATCCAGTTCGAGTGGTACTGAAGACCTTCCCCTCATCTCGCCAATGACGCATGGTCCTGTAGTCCAGGTACAAGCCTCGCTCTTGAAACGCTTGGTCAAAAAAAAGTGTAAGAAGCCTCTGGACGGTGTCGATGTTCCAACTGGTCTCCCATCGAATAAAACGTTTCCTGGACTTCCTGATCCCATTTCGACTTTGGTCTCTTCTGATGCTCTTCCGGGACTTCATAGTCAAGTCGAAAAAGAAAGTCCTCAAACACTTCCAGTCCGCTGTTTCGTAGATCGAGCGCATAGGGTCAATCGGATACCGCTGGTGGCCCCCATTCCGATCCCTTTACAAATGGCCGATGCTCAAAAGCTTGACGAGGTTCTATCCAAGATGCAAACGGCCAATGATGCTATACGCAATGAGCCTGATTCTTTCGATATGGTTTGGATATTCATCATACTTGCTTTTATTCTTTTGACCTTAGCCTTTCAGGTAAATCTACCTGACTTCGACGACCCAACCTCCCTCTTTGGCGGTCATTCTCCTCACGAAGCGATTACTCCCCCATCGACGACCCAGGACCCTTTCGACATCGAGCCCTTCACGGCACTCTTTGGTCTTAGTCAAACGTCCGCCGAGCATGCCTCCGAAGTTGATCTTTTCAAGCCAACCAGCCAGGACGACTTGTCCGCAGCCGATGATCCCTTTGCTCTTCTTATGAACGAAGACCTGGTCCAGGACGAGTCTTTTCAAGCCGCCATGAATTTGGTCTCTCTTTCTCAAATGGGTTTTCAGTGGTAACTCAAGACGCCTTTGAACCGCTTCACTCCCCTTGCAATCTATCGGAAAGTACATTAGAATATTAGTTTAATTGTGGTGTTGTGCGCAGATTAAAAAAATATCATTATTGTCTTACGAATCACAGTATAAGTATCACTGCAGTATTTGCCCTTGAACAGAACTTGTATGCGCACACTGTGTGTTCTCGTTTTACCTCCATAAGGTGCCCGTCACTTGCACGAGCCCAGAATGTGTCGACGTCATCAAATTTTTTCACATTGGTTTGCCGGTCTGTCCCGTCAAGTGCGGTGCGCGTTTTGAAATACCCACGAAAGGTTCAGTTGAACCCACCTCTCCGAGTGCCTTCTCCCACTCGAGCTTTACCTACTCCAATTCCCTCTTTTCTTTGTTGTTGACCGGAAGTCGAAAAATTCAAAAATGGCATCAAGCTTTGCAAGGAACGTTCTTGGTGTTGCAAGCCGTGCTTCGATGAGGAGCAGCAGCGCGTCGGCTATGAGGAGTGTGAGTAGGAGTGTGATGAGGAGAGGGATGAGTTCGACGTCCCATGGACATGGTCATTCGGCGCCGTCAAGTGATAAAGCCTGGATTGTAAGTTGTTTCCTTAGTTTTGGAGGTTGACCGAGACTCCGGAAGTGTTGATGTTTTGACTTACCGGGATGAAATTTATGATTCTGTTCATGTAGATTGCTTCGGCTTTAGTTTTCGGACCAGCGGTAAGTCCAGTTGACCACTTTGGCGGGGACTGGACTGCCCCTGAAGACGAGCTGCGAACTAACTCGATATGAATAGACCTTATACATATTGTCCCCCTCCGGAAAGACACATAACACTGGACATCATGGACATGAAGACAATCACGCAAGTTCTCATTCCACAACAAAAGGGGAAGAGGTTAAGCATGAACCTCCAGCCGCAGCCGCCGAAGCTGTTAAGGAGGAATCTGATGCTGCTCCTGTATTGGTGAAGGATGATGAAGGGAAGGTTGAGGATGTTAAGGAATCGTTGAAGGCCGCTGAGGTATGTTATATTCTTTTCTTTATCTCCAGCTTTATATCGTGAGGTTGATGATGGACGCATATGCAGACCGACGATGTGCCAAAAGCTGATCCGGTATGAGACTTGCTCATTTGCCGAAGTGTGCTATTGTGTTCATGAACATCGTATCTCATACAGTCGGCCAACGAACAACACGTAGCAGAAACTGGGAAACCTCTTTTCAACACCGACGTATGTCCTCCTCTTCAGCTCCCATCACACCTTCCCGCATTTACTTATATCACCTTCCTTGACCCTCCTTTGACAGTCGGAAACTGCAACCCTCGTTGCTGAAGCTGAGAAACTACTTGACGCACCCAAGGCCGAGGAGAAGGTTGAGGAGAAGAAGGAAGCGGCACCATCAGAAGTACGTTTGCACACCCCTTAGGCGTTTAATATCAATTAGTTTTAACAATGTCGTGTTTACAGCTCGCTGCTGCACCCGCTCAACAGAAGGAAAGTTCGTAGATGGTACTTGTCCCTTCAGAGTGCTTTGCTTGGAGTAGGCCTACAATTAGATTTGTATTCGCGCTCGTTGAGTGACCCGCGCGATATTTCAATAGACCTGGGGTTTAGTCGTGCCTTGTCGTCATTGCGTTCAGCGGTTATGAATGTGCATACCGCCATAAGTAAGTGGGCGCGGGCGTCGGCCCGATTTGGCCTTCATATGAGTCAATTACACGTTGGTCTGACAAGCCCGCCTAGCTCAATCGGATAGAGCGTCAGACTTTTAAGGCGGGTTCAACCCTGTTGCAATCTGAAGGCTGCGAGTTCGACCCTCGCGGTGGGCTAGTTTCTTTTTTCTTTTTTTGAACAGCACCTCCATCCCGCACGATCTATCGATACAGTACTAAATATGGAATAATTAACCGTATCCTCTCCTTCAGTGTGAGTTCGTCGATGGGACGAGATTGAACTGGTCAACAACGATCTTGACGATGTCCCGCCATTCGGTCATTGCTCCGAGACCTGAATTGCAACAGAATGGAGCTCATCCTTCTTCAGAGGGGGTAGAATACTTACCGACATCACCACAAGCGAGATTTTTCCCTATTGGACCAACCACATTGTATTTGACCACGTCACGGGCAATACGGATATGTTCGGCGGTGAGCGGATGTTCGTACATCAGTGTATTCATGGCAGGGAAGAGGAAGGTAGGTGTTGTGGGCGCAAGAGCTCGCATGAGGGATGTCTGCATCAAGTGAGGTGAGTGAGCGAGGTGAACGGGTAAGCAAGGGGAGAAACAAGCTTACGACGAGATTATCGCAGAGCCCGTGTGCGATTTTGGATAGTGTGTTTGCGGAACAGGGGGCTACGAGGACGATGTCTGCCCATCGACGAAGTTCGATGTGGAGGATGGGATCACCGATTTTGTAGTCGGCCTATCCAACATGGAAGGCTTTGTTTGGGGAGATGGTCGATATGTGGGTGGAAGGTGAGACGCACTGTCCATTCATCTTCATCTGTCCATACTCGAGATCCAAGTTCTACTATATCTTCTTTCTTGAAGAATGTAAGTGAGGGCCTTGTGGAGACGACCTCGACCCTGACATTTCGGTACTGTCCAGAATCAAATTACCCCGCGGATGAGATGGAATTTAATGGATAGGCGGATAGATGGGTAAAGACCAAAGGAGAAATCAAAATGAGTGAGTATCGAGAATGCTGGATGAATGTTGAGATGACGAGACGGACACTGAGAAGTTCCTTTACGATCAAAGGTGCTTTGATGGATGCGACGCTACCAGTCGTGATGAGCAAGACGTGGGTGTGCCCTTCGATGCGTTCGGATTCTGCTGTGAATCTAGGCATAGAATCCTCAGGGCGATGACAGATGCAGAGAGCGATGACCTCGGTTGCCGTACACCAGGGTTCCGACTAAGCGGATCAAAACGAGTAGACGCCCGATTGGAATTCAAACCTTCCATTCATGAGTACCATCACCATCGCACTTATATACCTCAAAAAATCGACCTCGACAACTCATTCGGTGAGCGCATGATTGGAGAAAATCTGATATACCAGGCCTTCCTCATATGATCTCATATATCGGCGGGGGATAAGTAGCTGCAGGAAGTCACCATGAGTACATGACGATGATGAAAATGAATTGGTAGGCAAGGTCAATTTCAAGGCCATCGACCTCATGATGCGGGCGTCAAGCTATTGGTATCCACGACCACATTTGTCCCTTTAGCCAAGATCGTCAAGGGTCCTGAGGCAACATAAACGGCCAAAGTGCCGCGCCCATTTTTCCCCCTTGTCCCCCGTACCACCACCCTTCTCGTCCCCAAGGCTTAGAGCAGTGTAAGTTCCATCGACAAGCTACTTGGCTTGCGTTATTGACGTTAATGACGACCCTCTTTGCTTGGATTTAGGCTCTTTAACTCTGTTTTCGTTCTTGCCCCTTCAGTGCATAACTTGCGTCACCTTTTAATCCACTCTTCCTTTCAAGTCAATCAAACATGCGCTTCTTCGCTGCTGCTGCCCTTGCTTCCGCCACCTTTGTTGCTGCTCAACAGACCTATGTAGTTGCCGTTGGTAGCAACGGAACTCAGACTTTCCAACCCCCCTCGTGAGCCTCCTTTGTGTAGTGGAAGATCCTCCGGGTTGACGGGCTCATGATAATAGCGTGAATGCGAACGTTGGTGACACCATTGCCTTCCAGTTGTGAGTACTACCCACCATTCATCTAGATTAGTACTGATGCTGATATGCTTTTTCTAGCCGAGGCGGGAACCACGTATGTTGCGGTGTACCATCTCGATGGACGCCATATTGACTCTATGACGCGATCACTACAGACCGCCACACAGTCCACCTTTACTGCCCCATGTACCAAGAAGTGAGTTAACCATCTTACGAACACACGCGAAGGAGTACTGACCATCGCATCTCTTGCTCAGGTCCAACGGTGTCGATTCAGGTTTCTTCGCGGTCGCTGCTGGTGCGACCGAATTGCCCCAATGGTCGTTCACCATTGTGAATGGTACGCACATATTCCCAACGTAACACCCACATATGCTCATCACGATAATCTCAAACAGCTAGCGCCCCATTATGGTTTTACTGCCAACAAGGAAAGCATTGCCAGAACGGAATGGTCTTTGCTCTTAACCCAACCGCCGACAAGACTCTTGACGCCTACAAAGCTAATGCTATGGCTTCCAACGGCAGTGCAACCGCTGAGGCCAATAACACTATAACTAACAAGCCAAACAATGCATTCAGCGTGGCTGGTAGTTATGGAAAAACCGTTCTCGTCTTGGCTGCCGGTGTCAGTGCTGGGTTGTTACTGTAGTCCCATTGGACTCGAACGACTTGATCATAACACGATGTACTTATATGCACGCGGGTTAATGGCTAGTCCATTTCCTTTTAATTCTCTATTGGTGTGCTCGTCATGCACGAGTACATATTCAAGAGCGGATAATTCCATGAGCGCCTGGCGACTCTGGGCACATGGTCATATGCCATGAATTCGACAGGGTCTCTTCGATCTCGAAAGCTGAGGCGGAACAGGTGTTCCGTATACTCGTAATCGCGTAAATGACCCATTGAATTCCGTTGTCATAATATACAGGGGGAATAGCTGCCGTTGTAGTCATCACCAAGAAGCTCGAGGAGAAAAGTCGCATAGAATTAGAAAGCGATATCTTCAACTTCGAGATCGTCCCCGAGCACAAAAAGTAAAACATGCAAGAAAGGAAACCAGAAGGAAACCAAAAAATGTCAGAGTGAAATGAAATCGTACATCCAAATCCAAATCCAATCCGAGAGTCATAACCAAACGGGACGTCTATATCCGTGTCGTGTCATTGAACATTCTAAATCCAACCGATTCTCAAAGGGTATGTAACATCCAGCTCAACCCGATCCAACTCAAACCCAAGGCCCAAGGCCCAATCAAGAAAATCACCCCCCCCTCACCATCCAACTCAAATGTTCACCTCAAACCTAAGCACTTAAGCCTCTAAAATCCCCTTCTCCCTCCATCTCTCCCAAAGTAACCCCACACCAGCCTGCGCTCCCGATTCTCCTTTAAGATCCTTCGGGTCAAGTAAATCATATTCCTTGCCAAATGCAAGGAAATGAGCAAACAGAGAATTAAAGTGAGGTTCGGAGCGGAGATGAAGGATGGCAGTGTAGTGTGCGTGATAGATGTGTGCAAACACGCGGAGGAGTTGACGGTAAACGTGTCGTACGGTTGCAGGGAAGGATGGATGGAATGCTTGGCCTGATGGACGGTGAATAAAGTAAGTGGGCTGAGCAGACGAGACGAGACTTACTGGTTTTGGTAGGAAAGACGTTTTCATCGTCGACCAGAGTTTGGATGGAAGACATGACGGAGTCTATATAACTAGGCGCTGATAGAGACACCTGCTTTCCGCCTTGATTTGTCCACAAGTAGTTTAGCCTATACACGATAAGATCGACCCGCATCAGCAGGAGAAAGGGAATAACTGGGAGGATAACCCACGTTGGCCCACCAGACATCGTCGGACACGTTTGTTGTGTGCAAACCTCCGCGATCACACCATAAAACTCGTTCAAGTTGGTATAGAAATCAAAGACTATAAATAAATAGTCATACGCCCGAGCAATGCGATCGTTAGAGACGAGCAGGATATAAGGAATCGGAGGATGATCAGCCTCTCAGTAAACCACAAAAACGAGTAGGTGACCACTCACTATTCACGGCAACCCACTCCATGATATCCACATACTTGGGTAGCATCACAATAGTCTTGAAATTCCCTTTGACTAGTGCCGCATCCGCAAAGGGGCGAGACAAGTACAGAGGTGGTGGGCTACCACCACCATTTCCACCGGGTGACGGTGGTGCAGATGACGATCCTAATGGATCTCTCGGAGGGATAGGTAAAGTCCCCGGTGTGGGGGAGCGTTTCTGACGAGGTGCTCGATTCCGTCTGGGTAAGAAAGTATCCATATCTCAGTCAAGGGAGTAACAACGAAGAGAAAGAGGAGTTGTGGTGAGAAGCGAACCCGAAGAAGGACATGGCGAGTGACCTATTGATTTGCTAGCAATTGCAAGTGTTTTTTGGCGCTGGCAACGAGCTTCCGGATCCGCGTATGGAATGGAATTTGATATTTGGATGGGGATAAAAGCCAGTAGTCTGATGTGAGTTGGAAGAAACTTCCGTTTCGATTCTTTTGGCGAGTTTTTTTTGGGTTCGCTTTCTTTTGTTGGGAATCGTCCACGAGCTGCTCGTCGTTCGGGCAACCGTCAAAGCATGCACAAGAATGCCCGGAAAGCCCGATTTGGTACCTTGAAGCTCTCGGTGTTTGGCTGGACCCACTTTCTCAAACACTGATTTGAAGGTAAACCCAAATTACAAACACCAATGCTACAGTCTAAAGGACACAAGGTGGTCTATAATAAAAATGTACTATGCTTCAAGTAGCCCCATCCCCTTCCATTTTTCCCAGAGCGCGCCGATCCCTACAGGCGCAGTTGGCACCCCCTTGATGTCTTTAACTTCAAGCAACTCGTATTCACGTCCAAAAGCCAAAAAATGTGCAAAAAGCGAATTGAAATGGGGTTCCGAGCGAAGGTGCAACAGTTGGTTGAAATGCGCGTGGTATATGTGAGCAAAGACTCGTAGCAGTTGTCGATACATGTGTTTTACTGTGGAGGGAAATGACGGCGGGAAATCTTGGCCTGTTGGACAAATTGGGTCGGCGTCGGTCGAATTTGGAGCACCAATGGACCGCACGTACCTGATCTTGTCGGAAATGAATTCTCGTCATCCAAAAGATTTTGTAT